CCAAAGAGCTAATCTTACTCTCTGCCTCTACAAAAACTGTCCATTTTGCTTAATTCCCAAACTCAACAGCTGTAATACTTTCTGCAGCTACATGGTCCTTTTTATCCATGAAAGTCACTCTTTGGGCTAGAAAATACTTTGCAGGAGACAGTCTCAGGACCCATATTGAAAAATGTAGGAAGCATCAAAAGAAGATGAAAAGAATACAGAGTCACAGTACCAAAAATAACTGGTCAATACTAAAGAAGCAAATGATCAGGAACTAATGGTATTGAAAAATGGGGGTGCTATAAAGGCACTGGTGTGGCACTGTGGGTTAATGCACTGGACTGCAAAGTCATTTTGAACCACAAGGTTGGCAGTTTAAGCTCACCAGCTGCTCACTGGAAACTCTATATAGAGCAGATTTGAGTCGGGACAGACTCACTGGCACTCAACAACAACATAAAGGCACGAAGTGGCTAGCTTACAAGTTTTCAAAAGTGCCTAGTTTCAGAGTAAGGGGGTTAAAGTAAAATCCCCACTGAATAGTTTTCCTCTTGTCTAGATGGGTCTGGAGAAAGCAGATGGGGATAGGATTCTTCTGATTCAACAATAAGTAACTGTTATCATGACTAATTGCGAATGCCACAACTATAAAGATAGAAGTTGTGAAACAAAAGGGTAAGTAGTTAATCTTTCATTCCAGGAAGAGTAGACTCTAATACCATCAAGATGGAAGAGCATGAGCAAAGTGTGGGATCCTCACCAGAGAAGCAGCGACAGCAGTGAGACGGACAGAGAGGCGATGGCATAGAGGAAGAGCAACTGAGGACTCTAGACCCATGTTACGAGAAATGATGTGTGCTGGTGGGTAGGAGCTAGTTTGCAAAACGAGCCCTTTGGTTGTTTAAATGAATATTTTCTGTGTAAAAAAAAGAGGGGAAAGAGGTAAATACTGTTAATTGATGGTGCACGGAGAGGACTATAATCCTTGCAAAGAAACAAAATATGATTGGTTGAGTGCAAGACTGATGATCTGCCCTGTAAACTATCACTCAATTTACAATAAAAGTGTTTTAAAAAAAGAACCAATGGTACTGAATTTGAAGAAAGAAGTCCAAGTTGCACTAAAGGCATTATCAAAAACAAGGCTCCAGGATATGAATGAATAATACCTAAAATATTTCAATAAACTGACACAGTGCTATAACCACTCACTAGTCTATGCCATGAAATTGAGTTACCTGACCACTCAATTGTAAGAGGTCCATATTTGTGCTCATTCCAAAGGAATGTGAACCTATAAAATGTGGAACTTATCTAAGAATATCATTAACATCACACCCAAGTAAAATTTTGCTGAAAATAATTAAATGATTGCAGTAATGCATTGATAAGGAGCTGCCAGACATTCAAACCAGTCGCAGACGAGGACCTGGAACTAGGGATACCATTGTTGATGTCAGATGAATCTTGACTGAAAACAAAATACCAAGAGCTATTTACTTGTGCTTTACTGGCTATGCAAAGGTAATCAACTGTGTGAATCATAACAGACTATGTATTGTTGTTGTTGTTAAGTACCGTGGAGTCGGTTCCGACTCATAGTGACCCTGCACAGGGTTTCCTAGGCTTTATGGGAGCAGAACACCTCATCTGTCTCCCGCAGAACCACTGGTAGTTTCGAACTGCTGACCTTGAGGGTGGCAATCTGATTCGTAATCACTACGCTACCAGATTATATATAGCATTGTGAAAAATGAGAATTCCAGAATATTTTATTGTGATCATGCAGAACCTGTACATAGAGCAAGCAGAAGTTGTTAGAACAGAACATGAGGATATTTAATGACTTGAAATCAAGACAGCTGTGTGTCAGGTCTCCTTTAACAATCCTTACGCAATCTGTACACTGAACAAGTAATCCGAGAATCCCTGGACTAGATGAAGAAGAATGCAGCACCAGGATTGGAGGAAGGCTCATTAAGAATCTGTGAAATGCAGATGATACAATCTTTCTTGCTAAAAGTAAAGAGGACCCACACCTATGGAATTAGTAGCTCAAAAGAGGGAGCGGGCCCTTGCAGCAAGAATCATTGCCACCCCTCCTACACACAGAGTGGACAAGGATGGGCAACTTGGACATTGGCTACCCAAAAAGGGAGGTTGGGGGGGCTACAAAGGCAAGAAGTGACTGGCTTACAAGCTTTCAAGAGGGAACCTAGAACCAGAGGGCCTGGAGAAAGGTAGAATCTCCAATGGGTAGTATTCAATCTGTCTAGGTGGCGCTGATGCAATGAAATTCAGATAGGTCTCTTGTGATACAACAGTGAATAATTGTTATCAGGACTGACTGTGAGGGTTGGAAATGTAAAGGTAGACGTTTTATAGCAAGGAGGGAAGTGATTAACTTTTCAGTCTAGGAGCGGAGGTCCCTGGGACCGTCAAGGGAGAGGAGCAGAGAGCGGGACCCTACCCAGAGAAGCAATGATGCCTGAAATGGAGCCAAAGATGATGATGTGGAGCGATGGAGCAGCTGGAGACTTTAGATCCAGAGAGGGAGAGCTACTGTGTGCTGAAGACCTGAGGGGCACAGGGGAAGGATTGCATGGAGGGGATTGTAACCATGGCAATGAGACGATATACGATGGAATGAATGTAAAAGTAATATTCTCCCATGTAAACTATCACATAAGTCACAATAAATCATTTTAAAAAATAAATAAATAAAAGTAAAGAGGACTTGAAGCACTTGCTGATGAAGATTAAAGGATACAACCTTCAGTATGGAATACAACTCACTGTAAAGAAAATTAAAACCCTCACAACTGGACCAATAAACAGCATCATGATAAATGGAGAAAAGAATGAAGTTATCAATGGTTTCATTTTACTTAGACCCACAAATAATGCTCTTGGAAGCAGTAGTCAAGAGATCAAATGATGTACCGCATTAGGCAAATCTACCGAAAAAGTCCTCCTTAAAGTGTTCAAGAACAGAGATGTTACTTTGAGGACTGAAGTACACTTTATCCAAGCCATTGTATTTTTAATCACCTCATACACCTGTGAAATCTAGAAAATGATGGAAGAACAGGAGAACTGATGCATTTGAATTATGGTGTTGGAGTAAAATACTGAAAATACCATGGACTTCCAAGAAAAACAAACAGAAGTGTAGCCAGAATGTTCCTAAGATGTGAGGATGGAGAGACTTTGTCTCATGTACTTTGGTCATGTTGCCAGGAGGAATAAGTACCTGGAAAAGGACATCATGTTTGGTAAAGTAGAGAGTGAGTGAAAAAGAGGAAGATCCTCAAGGAAACAGATTGATGTAGTGGCAGCAAACAATGCTCTCAAACATGACAATTGTGAGGGTGGCTCCGGACTGGGCAGTATTTCATTCTCTTGTGCACAGGGTTGCTAACTAATTCAAGCCACTAAATTATAACTTTGCTATTTTGTTCACTGATGCATCCTAAGCTTCGAAAACAATGTTGGCACATAGAACATGCTCCATTAACTCCAGTGAAAGGCATTTGGTGAACTGTAAGAAGTTTAAAGTGAGGTGAGAAGGAAGGCATTGTCCTTATTTAACTACAAAAGGTACCTCGAAGCAAGGCAGTGAGTTTATCTCAGCTACCTGCACTCTAAAGGCCTAGTTTCAAGAGGGACATGTCCAAGGAATCAGAACTTTCAGTCCAGTATTTAAAAAACCAGACCACAATGCTCATTGAAAGTCTCTTGTGAAAACACGGCCTCGGAGTTATTCAAAAAATCAATTTTCAAGTTGTGCACACTGGTTATTATTTAATGACATGACTACTTGGAAGCTTAGGAGTTTGGCTACAGATAATTGATTTTAATTCCAAGACTACAGAGAATCTCACTGTGTTTGTAAAAGTTTCACCTTAAAAGTATCTAGTAAGAATTCTAGTTTAAGGGCATACATTACTTAGCAACACCGATGACAAAATTAATCTAAGCTTCCACAGGTATGTTATCTAGTGCTGCTATGAAGCAGCAATGCCATAAATGACTAATTGTAAAGAAACAAATGTATTCTCTCACAGCCTTGTGGCTGGTGATGGTTGTGTATTCTCGAGTCAGTTCTGACTCATAATGACCCTATGTATAGGGTTTCTAAGGCTGTAAATCTCTACAGGAGCAGAAAGCTTCATCTTTCTCCAGCAGAGCATATGGTGGATTAGAACTGCTGACCTGAGGCTAGCAGCCGAACATGTAACCCACTACACAACGAGGGCTCCTTCTCTCACAGTTTAGGTGCCAGCTGTAGGGGAAGGCCCCTGTCTCTGCCAACTCTAGGGGAAGGGCCTTCTCTCCTTTCAATATCTGTGAGCCCGGCATTGCTTGGAGATCTCCGTGTGTCTTGATTATCAATCTTTCTCTGGATCTAGAAAGTGCTCAATACAAGGACCCTGGATTCAAAGGACACACTCTGCTCCTGATACACTTCCCTCTCCTTCAATCTCTTGTAGGATAAGAGGTGGAAGTGTGGTGGATGGACTACAAGCCACAAGGTCGGCGGTTCATGTCCATCAGCTGCTCCATGGGAGAAAGATGAGACTTTCTACTCCTGCAAAGATTTAGTATTGGAAACCCTGTACAGGGTCACTATGAGTCGGAACCAACTCTACGGTATTTAACAATGTAACAAGATAAAAGATGATGCAGACCACATTATAGGTAAACTCTTCTTACACGCATCAGGTCTGTGACCCACCACAATCCCAGTATAACTGATTCGCAGATCAAATCAATGCAGATGACTACATTACAATGTAACTGCAAACCACTGCCAATCATGGTCCAGCCAAGTTCACACAAATTTCAATCCATGACAAATAAAATAACCAAACAAGAGTTTCATTCTTTATTTTCTAAGTCACTAGCCCCTAGTTTATAGGCATTTCCTGTTTCCCCACTGAGGAGGGAAAAAAATGAGCATGTTCAATCCTCTTCCTCTGACGTTTCTTGTCTCTTGAGATGAGTCTTACCTGCATAATGGACTGGAATCTCTATCTTTGGCCCAATGACATAGTGTCCCTCCTCCAGGCTATGGGCAGTGATGGTCGTCCATTGACGGCATGAATGAATCAGAAGGTAGTCGTTTTCCCGCAGTCCTTCTATACATTCTCCTAGAAAATATAATTTTTGCATAAAAGACTTATAATTCCTATTAGCTTGTCACATGCTTTGTACTAAAATTCCATAAGCTAAAACTTCCCTAGTATGGTAGTGGTGGTTATGTGCCGTCGAGTTGGTTCTGACCCATAGCGACCCTGTAACAAGGTTTCCAAGGCTGTAAATCTTTATGGGAGCAGAAAGCCTCATCCTTCTCCCGCAGATAGACATATATAATTCATTGTAATCAGAAGTTAAAGTTCATCTTTGAATTAGCAATTAAAAAAAGTATTTTATACCAAGCGATCAACATATAAAGGATCTTATAAAAATGTATTCTACTCTTTTGCAAACAGATTTCCAAATATCTCATTGTATCTAAGCGCTTATAGTGTAGTGGTTACAAATCGGGCTGTGAATCACAAGGTCAGCAGTTTGAAACTACCAGCTGTTTTGCAAGAGAAAGATGAGGTTTTCTGCTCCTATAAAGATTTACAGCCTCAGAAACCCTGTACAGGGTCCTATGAGTTGGAACCGACTCCATGACACATAACCACCCCACCACATTTCAACGGCAATAAAACACCCATTTATTGTGAGCCTACAATGTATTTCTGGAGTTTTGGCATGGCACTGTGAGATAATGCACAAGACCCAAAGGTTGGAGGTTCAAACTCACCAGCCGCTCCTCAGAAACCTTATACAGGGTCTCTATGAGTTGGAACCAACTTGACTCATAGCAATCCTGCACAGGGTTTCCGAGGAGTATTTGGTGGGTTTGAACTGCTGACCTTGTGGTTCAAACTAACCTTGCAGTCCAGCGCATTGTCCTGCAGTACTACTACATCAGGAAGCTTCAACATACACCATGTCAAAATGACAGTTTTAGCATCTTTAAAGGGCTCAAATCGTATTCCTTTTCAATGTTCTTTAGAGTTTTGGAAATAAAAACTGTTCAAAGGAATAAGATCAAGACTATAGTGTGGAAGGAGTAAGGTTTTCCAAAGAAATTCTCTTAGACTAGCCTGTGCTGCCCTCCATGAATGAGCAGGTACATTGTCCTGATGGGAAAAATTGACTGCTGCAACTTTTTGGTCTAGTTCTCACCATTTTCTGAAAACCTTTACATAATACCTGTGGATCATCCTGGGCCCTTTGAGAAAGTCTATTGAGATTACTCTTTTGGAATTTCAAAATACAATTGCCATAGCCTTTTGAGCTGATGTCTCTACCTTGATTTTAACTGGCTCATGCAGATTCTGTAGGAAGCCATTGTTTTGTTTGGACCTTTCTCCCCACCTTTGGAAGGTACCTTAATGAGAGTAAGACAAGAGAGAACTTATCTGCAGCCATCCACTGATGACAGAAACATCTTTAAACATGTTTTGTTTAGAATAAAACAGTACATGTATGAACTAGAACCCTCACAACAATACTTTTTACTTACTCTTGTAATATTTTTTCATGTAATACACTAAACCTTTATATTTTTCCTTCTTTTCAGATGAGAGATATCAAGGTACAGAATGTTAAATAACATTAACTCACAAACTTCCTAAGCAGAAAGTGTGGATTCAAACTTTGGTCAGGCTGATTCCAAAGCTTAAGCTTTCAAAAAACACTACATTATAAGTACACCAAATTAAAGCAATGGTGGTTTAGTGGTAGAATTCTCATTTCCATGTGGGAGTATAGAATTCTCATTTTCCATGGGTTTGATTCCTAGCCAACGTAACTCACATGCAGCCAATACCTGTGAATGGAGGTTTGCATAGTGTTATGATGCTGGACAGGTTTCAGCCGAGCTTCCAGACTCAGACAAACTTGGGAGTAAGGCCTGATGATCTACTTCTAAAAACTCAGTCAATGAAAATCCTAAGATCATAATAGTCTGATCCACAGCTGATCATATGGAATGCAAAAGACCAGGCAGGATTTCATTCCATGGTGCCCGGGACTGTCATGAGTCATATAGTACAGAAGGGGAAGTTTTCATATTTGTAATGTAAAAAAAACTAATGATAAACATACACTTATCCAACTAATATTTATCATCTTTTATAGGCAAGGCAATGGATGAATGGGCAAAAATCAAAGGTTTGGTTCCTGCAGCAAGAAATTGACATTATTTTTATGCACTAGAGAAAAAGTGAATCTAGCATGAGGATGGAGACTTCCAACAGAGAATATCAAGAAGAAATGTCAGAGAATATTTAAGTTGGCTTTTCCTTGATGGATAAATTTGGCTTCAGTGAAAGAGGAGTAATGGGAGCCAATGAAGGGTTTTGGATAAGAGAATACTCAAAGCTCTGCTTTAGGAAAATTAATCCAGCAGTCCTATGAAAGATGGGTCAGAGAAGAAAGAAAATGGAATCACAGGATATATATAGGAAACTCAGTGAGGAAAAGAACAGTATCGTTCAGGGAAAAGGAAAAATGTAATTTTCTGCAACTAAATTGTTTTATCATAAAAGCTATTTTAATTTATTTCCACAGTGGGCTCTAAAGAGGCATCTAAGAAACAATTGCAGTCAAGTTAATCAAAATGAAAATTCAATGTTAAATCTTACTATTAACAAGTGTCGTAAATACTCTAGCAAGAGGATTCAAATGATTTTCAAAGCCATAAACTAGGGAAAAAATCAACACCTTTTTAAAAAAAACGCTTTATTGTGAATTATGTGATAGTTTACATGGGAGAACATTAGCTTTACATTCATCCTAGCGTATATCGTTTCATTGCAATGGTTACAATCCCCTCCATTTATCATCAACCACCCAAAGGATATACCCTGCAAACCTGCCCCCCGGTCATCAGCACACAGTCCCTCTCCCTCTCTGGGTCTAAAGACCCCAGCCACTCGATCTCTCCAAGTCATTGTCTCAGCCTCCATCTCTGGCGTCACTGTTTCTCTGGGTAGGGTCCATCACTCTGCTCTTCTCCCTTGATGGTTCCAGGGGCCTTGGCTCCTGGACTTCATAGTTAATCACTCCCCTCCTTTAGCTACAAAATATCTACCTTTATATTTCCAACCCTCACAGTCAGTCCTTGTAACATTTATTCACCATTGTACCACAAGGGAACTATCTGCATCTCCTTTCATTAGCCCCGCCCAGACAGATTGGATACTACTCAGTGGAGATTCTACCTTCCCCTGTGCCCTCTGGATCGAGGCTCCTCTTGAAAGCTTATAAGCCAGTCATTTCTTACCTTTGTAGCCTTCCCTCCTTCCCCATTTTGGGTAACCAACGTCCAAGTTGCCCATCCCTGTCTACTCTGTGTATAGAGGGGGTGGGAATGATCCTCACTGTAAAGATCTGTTCCCTCTTTTGAGCTACTGCATCCATAGGTGTAGTTCAAGTTCATCAAATTGTATCAGGTTACTCTTTTCTTCCTCTTCTTTCTTCTTCTAGATGAGCTCTGATCATCCAGTCATTGAAGCCAGGTTGAGTGGGTATTATCTGCAAGTATGGATATGCATATTCTTATATCTTGTATCAGCTGGTCGTGTCACTCTCCACTCTAGTCCTCTGTGGCTATGTCACTGACTCTGGGCCCAAGAGTCCCCCAGGTCTTACCACAATGCTGGCCAACCAGGTCACCACCCGGGTTCACAGGAGTATACTGAACATTGTAGGGCTTAGCTTGCAGCTTCATTGCTGTTTTTCCCTCACTTCCCCTTATTGGTGACGAACATGGTCACCAGTTAGAGCGCATGTCTGCTTGTGTATTCCCATTGAGTCTTAGTCTTGGAAGGGGGTTTGCCTTGAGGGGACCCAACCACTTGCCTCGATGTCTCCTGGGTGAGCAACTTGCTTGTTCCAACACCTATTTTTGAGACTGCACTTAAAAAAACAAAAATCCCCTGAAACCTGTATCTGCTTTAGACAAAATAAGAGTTTTAAAGAAATTGTCCAGATATAAAATTTAGCATAACCTAAGTTCTAGGAAAAAAACAACAACCCTGGAAATAAATAATAGTGATGGTTGTAGTGTAGTTAGTGTGGCTGGATTGTACATGTAAAAACGGTTGTACTGGAAAATGTTTTGCTATATAT